CGCGGTGCCCAAAGCCTTGCGGCTGGAGCAGCCGGCGCTGCACGACCGCGGTGTCCGCATTTTGAACAAAGGCAGGATGCAGAATTTCGCTCTGCACGGGAAGACGGGACATTTAGTGACGGCGGAGAGGATAGACAGAGAGCAGCTGTGCGAGAGTGTGCAGCAATGCGTGCTCCGCTGTGAGGTGATCGTGGATGGGGAAATGCAAATTTACAGAATCGAAGTGGAAATCACGGACATTAACGACAACGCCCCCAGCTTCAGGAATGTTGAACTGGAGGAGAGAATGAGCGAGATGACAGCCCCAGGGTCGCGGTTTCCCCTGCCCGAGGCTCACGACCCGGACGTGGGAGCGAATTCCGTGCAGACCTACGAGTTGAGCGGCGACGAGCACTTCTCGCTGGCCGTGCAGGAGGGCCCCGGCGGGGACCAGCGTCCCGAGCTGGTGCTGGCGAAGGCGCTGGACCGGGAGGAGGCGGCGTTTCACGAGCTGGTGCTGAGGGCGATGGACGGCGGAGAGCCGAGGCGGACGGGCACGGCGCGGATCCGCGTGTCGGTGCTGGACGCGAATGACAACGCGCCCGTGTTCAGCCAGGCGGAGTACACGGTGCGTGTGCCAGAGGACGTTCCCGTGGGCTCCACTTTGGTCACTGTCACGGCCACCGATGTCGACGAAGGGATGAACGGCAATGTTAAATACTCGCTGAAGAAAATCACAGAGAAAGCCGCACAGATTTTCCAGTTGGACGCCGAAACCGGAGCGATCTCACTGGTGCGAACTCTGGACTTCGAGGAAGGTGACTCGTACGAACTGGAGGTGCAGGCAAGGGACAGAGGAGAGCTTTTCGACACGGCGAAAGTCGCAGTCACGGTGAACGACGTGAACGACAACGCTCCCCATATTTCTGTGCGGTCGGCGCTGAGTGAGATCTCTGAGGACGCCACGCCGGGGACGGTGGTGGCCCTGCTGCACGTGCAGGACAGGGACTCGGGGGCCAACGGCGACGTGCGGTGCTCCCTGGACGGCGGCGTCCCGTTCCAGCTGCGGAGCTCGCGGGGCAGTTACTACAGCGTGGTGACTGCACAGGAGCTGGACCGGGAGGAGGTGTCGGCGTACAACGTGACGGTGCGGGCGTCGGACGGCGGGGCGCCGCCGCTGTGGAGCAGCGCGGTGCGGGCG